TCCCCTAACTCTACGTAATTTAGTCTGAAGCTATCGATATATTTGAAGGTTTTACCGTGGGTTTCTAACACCAAAATCTCTGTATAAAACATATCCCGTTATCTTTGACAGAATAAAGATAACAATATGTTTAAACAGATATTTAGAAATCAGAAACTCACAATACACAATATTTTTGTATCAATTATAAACTAAAAAGATTCATTATAACTTTTCCAACTTGAATATCTGACAGAATATTATGTTAAATGTACACAAGAAAATCAACATATTAAAAAGTTAACTAAATAAAATCATACGATAAAAAACATGTGTTTCCGTTATCAAAATTTGTGCAGTGAACGATAGCCTTCAAATGCTAGGATATAAAAAAAGGCAAATTTTATCACGGCTGATGTCAACGACCCCTTTATCAATTTAGCGAGATTTCGCGGACATGCAAGCTCGACGTCGCAACGATAAGTGATGATAATATAATTATATCTTTACACCGCCTGTTGCGCAATGGGCTACCTTGAGATATTGAACAAATTAATAAGACATCTTCATCCTTTTACTTCCTTATGCTGCTGACCGCGATTCCGTCCGCGCAGTATTAACTTAGTAGCTGTTCTACATCTATACCAAATTTCATCAAAATCTGTTGAGGCATTCCGGAGGTACCTTTGAACAAACATCCAGCGATCCATCCGTACATCCAAATATTCGCATTTATATTATTTTAGACATTATTAGTTAGAATCCTTTGGCACTAATCGCTTGCTTTCGTTACCAAGTGTCAGAATGATTAGTGAGGGGACATAAACGTCGTCATTTTAGTAAAGTTAGTGTTGCGCCAGTACACCGGCACAGTGTCGGATTTTGTTCCTAACAATTAGTAAGATTATATATTATATTATAGTAAGATTAGTAAGATAGCTCTTCTCGGAATCAAAACTTATAGGGCCGGAAATAGATTCAATTTTTGTCGTATTTGTCAAATTGTTAGTACAGTGTGGTTTGCTCCCCACATTTGAAATGTTTGATAGGAAATGTAAACGAAATATAAGAGCTACATAAGGTAACTTTCACATAATCATATTCACCTGTCCCTGTATCTCCTAAATGTTATAAAAAATGTTCTAAACAAAATCATGCACGGAATTTCCGTGCCGGACGTAAACCCGTTTTTCGTAGTTGTTAAAATTCAAGCTTTGAAATGTACAGTCATCCTGATATTTTGATTTTAAATCTCTAGAATAGTGGTTGCTAAATACTAGGCAAGTGTATATAATAAATTCTTTATTTTTAAAATCTTAACATTATATAAAAGAAAATATTTTTTTAGCGCTCATGCAGTCGTTGTCTATGAGGCCTACTAGCTAAATAGAATTACAAATAACCCCCAGGCCTCTACACAACGTCCCCATTTTCTTTCTGGGTCTCTTACCCCTTGAGACCTGCAGCGCCCACAAGGGGGCGCTATCGTCCACTTTGGGAAAGACTGGCCTAGAGCCTTCACGACTAAACTGATTTTGACGAGTGAGGTGTAATTCGATTTTTTTTTCTTTTCCATATTTTATTCTGAATTGGGAAAGTGATAAATTTAATTTAACATTACCGTTTATTACGTTAAAAAAATAAATGTTTAAAGTGCGACCAATAGATGGCGCTTTTTAATTCATTGACGCCCTAGGCAGTAGAGATTATTTGTTCTTTTTTAAATAAAATTTGGGCTATTAAATGTGACAATATTAATTAAGCATAATAATAATAAGTTTGTCAATTTTTTTTAAATAGAAAACTTTTTTGGAAACTTTGAATTTCGTGCGTGGCGCCGGTAATTTTTTGACTCGAGTTTATTTTGCCGAAATCGTAATAATGTGTACGAAACAATAATTTAATTTAATAGGTAATAAAAATAATGATTAACAATGCATCCACATCAAAGCGGCACAAAAATAATTTCCATTCATTATCATAAAAAAAAACTATGTTAATTAACACTTCAAAAAAAATTACTTTAATGTGCCTTAATTATAATTAATCTTCAATTAATAATTAATATATGCAAATACAGATCACGCTAAAATCTTATATTAAGTGCACAAAATAGGCAAAAAAAAGACGCCGGTTTTTCAACTAATTCATAGTTTAAAAAGATACCTAAAATATTTTATATATTGATATCGATCTTGAAACCTCGTCTATTATTAGTCGTCTTTGTGAAGGCTTTGAGAAATAGGTCAGTCGAACCTTTGAAGAGCTATCAAAAGGTAAAAGTACAGACGAAAGCGCTTGAATATTTTATTATGTGTATTCCTTATAATAAGATCCATAAGAAATCATGACTAACATATATTTTACAAAGTCAATATGTTCTACTACTTCGATCTACATACATCATCATCATCATCAGCTGATTAAAAGTCCCCAACGAGGGGCTCGGAGCCTACCCTAAGTTAAGGGGAGTTAAGGTTACTACTACATACTTCTTTCAAATTAATAGATAAGGTATGATAGTATAGTCTCTTTGAATAGAAAGAAATTAATTATATCTCCACCCATATTATGAACTTGCCCGCGACTTCGTCAGCTCAGTAATAAATAAAAACAAAAAGTAGTCATTAACGCACGCGACCAATCCCGTCAAAATTCCTTCAAAATCGGTCTAACTGTATCGGAGAAAAAAATAATTAAAGATTGGTTTTGATCAGCAACATAAATAATTCATGTGTAGGTACGAAATTTAATTATTTTTCAATAAAACGTAGTCTCCATATTATTTAATATGTATAGATGAATAGGATTTCTTTGTTTAAAGATTAAGTGTCCAACCTATTTTAAAACTATTATTGATATATTACTTTCTTACTAACGGCAAGTCTTTTCGAATACAATATGTTATAAATTAGTTCAATCGATAACGGCCCCGAACAGTTATTAAGTAAACGTAAAACGGTTACTAATTATGACAAAATAGGTTCCCTGGGAAATAACAAAACGCCTATATTTTACCATAAAACGATATCTTGCTTTTAGTATTATATTGTCAAAACAGAGGGCGCTACTTAAAAAGTAGTTATCGATTTTCGAAGCTTTAAAAATTCACTCCAACTCGCTGTAATTTGGTGAAGTCTTACTTGCGAAATATTACGTGATTTCGTAACTAAATCTACACGAGGGTACTGAGCGTACAAACGGAACAGAATAATTTTGTTTTGAGATTAAGTGTTCCATCAGTACGAAAACTAAAAGTACTATTATAATAAATAGCAGTACTGTTTTGCCTTATTGCGCTACCCTCGTGTGAAACTAGAATAAATTCGGGCCGCCTAGCAACTTCAAGACGGATGAGGTTCGTACGAATGTTGCATTCTACGAACACAATTGTGTCGACAATTTATCGTCCTATTCATCAGCGGCCGCATGTTTTATGCAACTAGCTTGAGGCCATATGCAAAACGTATTAGGGTTGCTTACAATTAGAAGGATGTACGTTATTTAGATTCAGGGTCGTGATGCAAATAAAAAGTACATCATAGTAAGAGACAACATACACGGACTGATTCAAACATTACCTACAGTTTCAAACGGGCGTCGTCGAGCCATTAGTAGTTGCAGTTTGCGACACAGACCGCACTGTTGCTAAAAACTCTAGCTATTCTATATCCAAGCCAGAACCAGTCCATCTATGACTCTATTTATTATTGATCTGTCTAATAATTACAATTATATTTAACTTATAAACAAAGTATTTACAAGTATAATACGTAAAAATTACGTACATTCGCACGGTAGCAAAATTGAAAACGCACCATTACGAGTTGGCCAATTAGCATATATTAAAGTTAGTCTTGGCATTGGTTGTCGAAGTTCGCAGGCGACCTCGACAATGTGCGGCTCATTTGAATGCTGTTTAGAGTCAACGCACTAACTTATGCTTGCTATAATATACTTGTATATCATAGAAAAATTGTACACTCAGATAACCAGTGATTAAAAACAGTTTTTAACCGTTCGAAAAATGTTGCGTGTTACATGGTCACATTTTTTGAAACATTAAAAACTATCCAGTAATTTTTCAGTTTCAATATAGTTTATGCATACGACCTTAAACCAATAGGGATTGGACTCACGATGTCGATGATCATAAGACGTCATCTAAATGTGTTTTATCTTTTTAATTCATGAGTACGGATCTGTATTTGACTCGTAAAAGCGATGTTAATTTAGTGTCAACTAGAAAAACCGCTGTTCTAAATATATATATTAACCGACTTCAAAGAAGAGGAAGTTTTTGCAGGGAATAAAATTATAAGACTAATATATTATTTATAATAATTAAGCCTCTTTAATTTAGCATGTTTTTATTTAAATTCTCAAAATGCTGATATCTTAACGATTGCAGCGGTTTTATGAATCAAATACAATTGTTATCAATTCTTGTAATTTTATCAAACATTAGGCGCTCCCTTATCTACGCCAATAGATGCGTAGCGCCATTTTTAATTGCAAATCAGTTTGATAAGGCAATACTTCGAACTAAATTATACACAAACACATTGTTTAACGTAATCTATTATGTTCGTTATAACTTTGTACTAAAGTCTTTGTATGTTGATGGATCGGTTACCTTTCAATACGAACAATGTTGTCTTCATAATACATAACATTATTAGACGCACAAAACACAGTTATTAAACAGTGCAAATTAAAAAAAAACATGTTGCAATGCGTCTAGATTTTCTTTACTCTAATGGTATCCACAGCTGGTGGTGGATGGTCTAAACTTTTATTAAATTTCAAATATGACACACAGAACTGACTGTTGCTTTATGAGATTAAAATCTCTGTATGAAACAATTCGTCATCCCTGTCTTTCATCTTTGATAAAACAGAGACAATAATATTTTTAAACGATGATTTACGTTTCAGAAACCCACCGCTAGTGAACTTATTAGTTGGTTAAATACAGTGCCATCTATTGGTAATAAAAAGTACTAATATTGTGGACTTACCTTCGCAGTACAGCGTGACGTCGGCGAGACTCTCCGAATTCCAGAGGTTCGCGAACGACGTGGCCAGGTTGGAGCCGAAGCTGTTCCATTTTAGGCAGTATTGCTGCTGCTGGGAGTCCATACCCGGGCCGCCTCGTATACCTGCCCTGTAACAACAAAGACTGTTATAACTTTGCCTCAAGACAATAGAAAGTAGCATACGATTACCTTAACACAAATAGATTCGTCTGACAACTTTCGATATGTCATTGTTACGTATTTATTCCTAAACATTTTGTGGGTTTTACAAGCGTATTGTCTACAGGTTCATGTGTTGCCAACATAGGGACCGAACTACTAAGACCATGGAGAGTTGAAACTAACGACAATTTCTATACAAAAGGCTAGGAATAGATAACATTTTGAGTGCGGTACTCAGGCAACCGGTGTTTGAACCTACATGTTTTACGTGTAAACGATGTATTACCAAATAATTAAATGCGCTTCTCACTTAGGATCCAGTATGAAACAGCAAATTATTACCATAAGAACTACGATTAAGAACGTAAATATGTTGTCAAATTTTCGACTTAACCGCATTGTGAACGTCAAATAAAATTTCATCTAAGTGGGATTTTTTTTTATATCATGAGGTGGCAAACGAGCGAGCGGCCACCTGAAATCACTGAAATAGCGAAGTGACCGTTGCCCATAGACAAACGCAATTGCAAATACGTTGCCTACCTATAATCGACGGAGGAGAGGACGCACAAAAAGAAAATATTTCCATGCATCCTCTCATCCGGAAAGTACACTTCTACTTTCCATCCTCTACTTATAAGAAAAAGGGAAAGAGGACTACATTAGACCTCCGGGACGCACACTCATCAGACGAAACGCGGAATTGCTTCCACTTCACGCCTGTCTTCTGTGTGGTCGTGGTATTTCACCGGGCGAGCCGGGCCAATTCGTGCGAAGATGTTAAAGCGGGCTCTACCACTGTTAAAATTGGGTTAGAAATATAATCATAAAACTATATAACTAGTAACTAGGGCAATGAATCAATATCGTATCAAGTACCACCTGTTTGGCGCCGGCACCTTATAAAGTTATATGATAATTCGACTATCCAAGGTTAATATAAACTTAACAAACATACATTAAGGAAAATTGTGTAGTGATGTACTCACATTTTTTACACGTATGTTATTATATAAAATTACATAAAATGTATTAATTCTGAAACTATCAAGCGTCCAAAATCAAAAGTACCTTTGACCTTCACTAAGTAATCGTTAATTATTAATAGTTCGTTAGTGTAGTCTATGATAGTACCATTTCGGCTTTGGGTGAACAAACGCCATGACAGATGCGGGCCCCAGCAGTGGCCATGAATTCTTAATACCCATGCCTGCTTGTTCCCACGTTAGAATTCAATTACGCGCCTGTTTTACTAGCCGTTAATATTAGTATTGGTACTACGCATGCTTTTCCTACATATCGTCATATCTAAATGCATGCGTGTGTTATCGTAAGAACATTCACTACATCATAATATCGATAAGAGAAAAAGATCAGAATATCGATAAGTGTATCAACAACACTACTCTTGTACTATTTTTTTATTTGCGTTCGAAAATCAAGTACTATTTAACAAGCCTGAATATATCGTTACAAGGAAATTACACATTGTGCACAAATTTAGTTAATTTGAAGAAAAAGCTTTTCGCGTGTACTCTTTAGTCTCTTATATATTGTTGTTTGCAAACGTTACCAAAAATCAAACCCCAAGCCTGCCTTGTCACGAGAACAAAGCTGAGCCGATATCGTATCGATTTGATTCCCACTCCGTTACAGCCTAACTGTACATTTGCATGCGTGCACGTATACCAACCAGCTTAAGATGAACCGGGCTATATCCATTGTGATCACAAAGTGCAGCACAACGGTTGTTCTATCGCGGGGCGGGAAGAGGGTCAAATAGGATTGGTCTTTGAAAATTTCGGCTGCGACCCGGTTCCGGAATGCAGCACACGCGCAGGCGTACTAGTTACGATGTAGGGGGGTAGGGGGGGAGTCGGTTGCAACGCGTTGCGCAAACCACAACGGTCATTCGTTGATTCTACAAGCCCTGATTTCGTTCGGCACGCACACAAGTTTATCTCATCTTGTACTTGTTAAAATATTACGTTGAATAGAAACCGTTATACCCAAGTATTCGTTGAATAAATATTGTTATACATTGCTTCGTATAACCGAGAAATAATACAAATAAAAGTTTCAAATAATAAACAATATTTATCGCAAGTAGTTGGTTAAAACTACATTGGTTGTAAAATAATAAAAGAATATATAAAATTGTTAACAATGATTTTGTTGCCATTCGCTTTTACGTCTTCAAGATATTGAACGGGAAGCAATTTCCTCACTCACATGCTGACGGAAATGAACCTACAATCTTCTTATTTTATATAAGTCAAATAAAATACAAACAAATTAAAATGCATCATGCTGTATACAAATCGTAGTATAAAGTAGGATTGACAATTTATTTTTGTGTTTATCACCAATTTTTAACATAAATATTTATTTATAAAAATATTCCACACTTATTTGCTATTCTTATATCAAATGTATGTTTCAATTTCATTTCGCTTTCGCATCATTGTCCTCAAACGTAAGTTACTATCGTTCCACCGCGCGTATAATTTGTAACTCAAACGAATTTCATAAGAAACAAATAGGGCACTACCAGACTTAATTACTCCGCTTTACAATAACTAATAAACCATTCACAACAAGAAAATATCCTTATACATAGTTAATGTTAACAACTTTACTATAATTTTGTATTAATGATAACATTAAAAAATTAAGGTATTGCAAAACTTTTTTGCTCTTCAACATTTAATTGAATTCTAGTTGAAAGATTTTTTACTTAATATTCCATTTATTCGCAGCAAATACACAATTTGTTGGTCCAATTAGTTTGGGGTAACCACTCCATCTCTGTCCGCAAAGCAAATGAGTCTGCGTGTATTGATTTTAATAATGGATTTGTGCCTTACTCAATTTAGTTTTAACTTTTAAGGACAAAAAAACTATTATTGTGTCCGGCTTATAATTTCTTTATGGACTTGTAAGTTGAAAAAAAAATTGAAACTGTTCGTAATGAGTTATTAATATTAAAAAAAAACTAATATTTTCAAAGTATATTTATATTAATTGATTTATAAGTCAATACCAACTTTAAATAACATCATCATCATCAACCTGTCCTTATCTCTATTGAGGGTCGGCACAGTATGTACTACTCCTCCATTTGTCTCTATCAGCCGTCATATCCGAATCTACCACCTTCCTACGCATATCTTCTTTCACACAGTCATTCCATACTTTTTTTGGTCTTCCTCTACCTTTGTAGCTATTCACATTCAATCTCATTACTTTTTGCTTATCATCATCATCCATATAAACTTAACTTTAAATAACAACCATCGCTAAACACAGGTTTTCATGGTATTCCTTGGTATATTACACTTATTACGTTAAATAGATCATTAATTTATGTTTTCCTAATATAAAATATGTAGTTTCGACCTTAAATACAGTTACAACGGTACCACGAGTAACCGTCATGTGTGCAGCGAAAGACCATCATTAACTTATTAGTCACGGCTGCGCGTCTCTATGCAGCTGATGGAAACAAAAGATATGCAGGAAACCGTCTCACAAACATACACATAAACCCATCCCACGAAAAGAGTTATATTAAGGAATCTCATAAGATTATGTAACTTTTCATCGGATAGTTCGTTCGATGTTTAAATAAGTATAGTCCTATTCCTCACTCTACCCTTATGAAAGAATGCAAGGGCAAAGATGTTTGGAGTATTCATTTTTTTTTATTGGTTGACCGATACAGGTATGGAACAACTTAACAGTCTGTTTAATGCAAGTTTAGTTAACCTATGTTTTAAACTTGGTAACATGACAACAGTGTTATACGTCATAATCTATTGTACCACTAGCTGTGGCCCCCGACTCCGTCCTCGAGGAATTTAAATATAAGAATTAGCAGCGTTTATGTTTCAGTCGTTCTGGAGATACCTTATAACAAACCTCCATCCATCCAAACATACGTATTTATAATATGAGTAAGTTATTGGCTATTGATCTACTTTGGACAAACATATAGATAAAATGCGTTTCATTTCAAAGAAACATAAACAGAAAATAAAATATTAACATCTTAGAAACGTTAATATAATACGTGTCAGTTAAAGAAATTGTTTGCCTTCTGCATAAGTCATCCCATTGTGAAAGGGCAAAGCGGTACAACAAATGCATATGCATTTCAACGGATAATAGTTGCTATGTTATGGGGTCAAGAGTGAAAGTTGCGTGCACCTTTCGCCTAAATTGTACTAGCGGGTTTGAGAGCGACCCGCACTGCGCTTACGCAACGAATGTCGACATCGCGCTGCTATTAGTTTCTAAATTTTACGCGCGCTTTTAAACTGCATATAATCATGCCCTCTATTAATATGACGATCATTTATTTAAACTAGAACAAAAACATAACAACGCCCGATTTAAAACCTAAGGACCACTTAGTCTTTAAATCTAATAATTAATTCAAACTAGTACATAATAGAAATGTCTACAATATTCATAGTACCTATTTATTTTAAAAGCATCGTTTTCAGCATAAAATATTCTTTAATAAAAAAAGAACTGGATTTTATTTGGAAAATTTCTATTATATAACGTACGAGTAGTACGTAGAGTATTTTTCCTTTGTCCGTCTGACGCGAAGGAGTTTCCAGGTATACGGTATTGTTTTATTGTAACCCACTGTAGCCTAAACAGCTTGAACATATTGAAAAGTGAACCAAATCAACCACAATTTTCCACGAAGTATCATTACATTCCTATAGTTATTAGTTCAAACTTAATACTAACTTTAGTACTTAGTTTAGCGTATCTACAACGGCTTCATGTCTTCTGATACGTTTGTAGGCATTAGCTGCGTACACAGCACACACCCACGCATTACGACAGACAAACTTTCTAAGATTGCACCGGTACGCTTTTCCGACACAGAAAGGCCGCGCTGTGGGCTCGACGCAGCGCGGACAAAATAGAAAGTTGCAGGCGCGTTGCA